TAAGGAAATCCTGTGAAGAGAATGCTGGTTTAAATTATTTATTTGAAGAGTATGCAAATTTCTCTCTCTCTCTTTTTTTTTTTATTTTTTTTGGTAAGGTTGCTTGTGAAGCACATTGAGGTCTGTATCTTTAGTGATGACTTCAACTGGCTTAATTATTGCATTGTTTTCCATTCTGTTGAATCGTTGCATTGAGCTGAAAGGAGGAATCATTAGAAAATAGCTATTATCTTGGTATCGGGGGTCACTGGAGAAAGTGGGGACAGTACTAAAAAGAAGGATAATGTTCTTAAATAGATGAGTGTGAAAGATGATCCCTTTTTACAATAAGTCCTTAGATGAGCTTGTGTTTATAAAGAAGTCTAAAAATTACTGCTTACATGAATCAGTAGCTTTTTTAGCACTGCCTTGTAAATCCTTTTGTTCTTTTCTAGGAATTGGCAATTTTGTTAGTTTTAGTCTGTTTCTTGATGTTCTATAACAAGTTAATAAAATTCTGTCTTTCAATTATGTTTTCTCCACCATTTCCAAACCTTGAAGGTACTCCGTTCAGTTTTAAGTTTCTTTGGGTATACTTTTCTTGCTGTAATGTGGAAAAAGTTCTCTGAATAGTTAACTAGGGTGGAGAGAAAAAGGATGGGACATATATTTTTCATGATTGGCAGTTCTTAAATGCATCACAGCTCATAACTGGACACCCCACACCGAAGAAGTTGTTTGGAATAGCTTTGTCATGTCCTTGAATTAAGGATGCAGCCTCCATCCCTGCTGGGAATAGACTCCTCTGCCAAGTTTTTCTCTTAGGCTTGATGGATCTGGGCACCATGCTGTGGTAGCACAACTGTAACACTCTGACTAGACCTGGCCAGGTCTCCACACACTGTCAAATGAGATAAAAATAACATCTGTTTCCACCCATCTGTGTAGATGTCTTTCATAATAGCACTTTTTTTCTGGTAGGAAAAACTCTCTTTGAATTTCAATACTAGAAATGTATTGTTTGCAAGCAGCATTCAACTGGAATTTTTTGTATTTAAATAGTTATTTCTGATGAGCAGTTATGTGATCCAGGTTCATTTTCCGTAGTGTTGTAACTTATTTTCAGCTAAAGAGTTAATTAGATAAATGTGCCTTGTCAAAGCAGAATCTTGGCATGTGTCCCAAAAAGTACTGGTTGAGAGCTGCAGTAAAACTGGAAGGCTAATGGGGAGGAAATCAAGAGTTGACACTACTGTGATTTGGGATGGTTTTTACTCTCAGCTAAAAGCACCGAGTGTTCTACTACATTATGCTTCGTCATTGCTTTCAGGATGCTCAGAAATATTCACAGATGCAACCCTTTCTCCTAAAGCTGAGTTCCATTATGGCAATGTGAGTGCTTATCCTGAACTCACTTTTGTGGAAAAATTCCTTGAAAGTGCAGATTTGCAGTGTTTCAGCATCAAAATCCATATGCTATGGCACAGCTGTGCTGTGGTGCTCAGTGTTACTGATAGGATTTGCTTGTGGATGTCCAGCACCAAGTACATCACTGATACCAAATGATCAACTTTGAAATATCAGAGTTGTGGGGAGGTAGAATTTGGAAGGATGATATACTGCTTTCTGAAATCTTTGCAACCTCTTTCTGTGCTATTCTCTAACAAAGAAATAAGCTTTTTTAACCCGAACTTCTTGTTCACTTAACAGGTATAGTGGGTGCAACAGAAGCAGTTAAGGAGATCACACTAGACAGTAAGGTACTTGCTTTTAAATTTTTCTGTTGCTTTTTTAGAGGACCTAAGGGTAGTAGAACTTTTACCTGTAGCAATGAAGTTACTCCCTGTGTAAGATTAAAATATGCTTTCTCACTAGGTGTGTTGCAGATACACGTTGACCTTCAGAGCCTGTGATATTAGTCTTAAGCATGTTCATCTTGTTATTGCTGTGTTTACTGACGAACTGTTCTTTATGGAATGTTTTTAGCTAGTGTGCTCTTGTGCTAGGCTTCTGCAAACTGAAGATGAAATTCTGTTTACACTGATAACTCACCTGTGTGTTTTAAGAAACTAATGTTTGGAGATCCAGTGTAAATAAATTTTTATATGGAAAAATAATGTAGGGATGTCAAGTATTTCTTCATAAACTTTGACTACGTTTGGTCCTGTTTGACAGGCTTGTGCCCTCCTGTTTATAAATACAAAATCAGTTTAAATGTATACATCTTACAAAGTCAGCAGTTTCTGTGCATGTTTCCACAAATTCATTGTAGCAGGAGAAAGTCTGAAATTTTAAGTTCTCAGGAAACCAAGAACAGTTGGAAGTACTTGAAATGAAAATGCATTCATTGGCTAAGATGTTTTAGAAATGTGGAGAAAGTCACAGAGACACAAAATGTTTTTAAAGATGATTTGTTAAAGTGAAGTTCTGTCTGTGTGCTGTGAGAGTTTGTTAAACCTCCAAGCACAGAGTTTTGGATTTTAAAAATTAGGGGAAAAGAGAACAGGCTGCTACCACAGAATTGTAAACAGCTCTAAATGCCATTGACATGATGAACTGTGAAGTAGGTGTATTTCAAGTGAAACAGTGCTGAATATAGTAAAAATACTGCTTTTTCACAAGTCAGTAACGTAAGGGTGGAAGAAACAGTCTAAGGAATTGCTAAAGGTGATCACTATTTTGCAAAGCACAATACCTGCACAGTGCTACTGTGATGCATAAGTGCTGTTGCATGTTTTGAATTGGATTTCATCTCTTATTTGTAGAGAAGCCTGCTTGCTTGGACCACAGGTCCAATCTGAGGGGACAACTCTGTTTTGCTAATGTTCTGTTTAACAAAGCACTTTGTAACTTGGTTTCTTACTCATTTTGGTGGTTTGGTTTTTTTAATGAAGAAACCAGCCACCTGATGCCAACAGTTAGAGCAGCTTCTACTTGTAACAATGATTTGGAGTATTCTCCTAAAATCTTCATGAGACCTGGGTATATCAAGACCTCCTCCCTCTGAATTTCACTGGAGGTGTCTGTTGGGTTCAAATGCTATGCAAGGCCCACAAGAAAAGGTTGTCTGTGGGCTTGTGCTGTGTTCATTTCTGTTGGACTATGGTTTCAAAATGTGACATCTTTTGGGACTCTCTTGTGTTTTAAAAACAGTTGTGGAACTGGACAATGGTTGTAGTTGGTAGAATTGGATGATACTTTTAGTCATATGATTTAGTTTTATGTAGTCCTGCAAGGATCAGGGAGTTGGACTCAGTCATGCTTATGAGTCCCTTCCTTGTGATATTATAACTGCTGCACATTTGGCTGTGGTTTAGAACATATGAAATCTTAATCTTTGTGGTTAGTCTTAGCTGTTTTGTCACCACCTTTCGTTTGAGATGGGTGAGTCTTTTGAAAAATTACAGGCTAATGCCATGGTCGTTCTTCTTTGCTTAGGATTTAATAGCCATGGTCGTTCTTCTTTGCTTAGGAATTAAATCATTGCAGATTGCAAAGTCAAAGCAGAACTTTTTAAGTGGATTTTTAGTGTCATAGTAGGACTGTGAAGCTAAAATGGGTTAATAAGCAAATACTTGTGTTAAGTGTAGTCTTGCTTAATATTGCAGAAATTATTTTTCTGGTTCGCTGAATATGTTGACTGGAATGAGCCCTTAAATTTGCTGAGGCTGTTAGGCTGTGTAGATGCAACAGTCTTTAAAGCAGTGTTTTTAATTTAAATTCTGAAGGATAATATAAAAATACCAGAGTGTTCAGCATCTTGTGAAGATGATGATGAGGAAGATGAAGGCGAAGCTGCAGACATGGAAGGTATTTCCTGAAATTGGGTGGGACACACTTTATTTCAGGCCTTTAACTATAGCAGTACACTCTGAGAAAGCACCACTCTTGCTTTTCTTAGAATGCATGCTGAAAAATCCAGCAGGCACATGCTCTTCATCATCTTTTATGTGGTCTTACCGATGCATGCTTACTCTAACTTGTGTACCAAAACCTGTGTGAATGTTAGTGACTGGGAAATTAGTTTGTGGAGCTGAACAGATCCAAGCAATTATAAACTGGGGATTTAGCACAGGTTCTTTACTGCTTTATACCTACACTTAGACTCAATCTGCCTCTGTAAGACCACTGAAGGATTGCTCATCAGCTGCTTTACTGTACTCTTGGTCAAATTTTTATTAAAAAGGGAATGGTCTGGTTTGGGGATTGGGAAATTTACCTGCCTTAGATACATGTAGATATTTTTTTTAAAGGAGTTGTTTCTGAATGACAAATATGATGACTAGCTACAAGCTGAACAAAAAATTTTATGGGTCTTCTTTTCAGAGTATGAAGAAAGTGGGCTATTGGAGACAGATGATGTGAGTGAACAGTTCTCTATCTTGTCTGTTACAATATAACCACAAGCAGAGAAAAAATAATGATGACAAATGGATGAAATAACAGGTTTATGAGTAGTAGGATTACTGAGTTTGTTTTCCTATGGATTTGTCTCCTGGCAACCTACTGCAGTAACCTGAATCCTTAAGGTCCTCAAAGGTTTTGATCACAGAAATTTTGCTTGGTTTTGGTAATCCGTTTCACTCTTTTTACACACAGTGCTGTATTCATGGGAAGCAAAAAATGCAGCGTTTGTTCTTGAGGCTTATATATGGGGGACAAGTGGCTTGTAGGTTCATTAGGTTACACTGGTGCATCAGGCTGTCTGTCATGGACAAAAACTGGGAGCATCATTATTTGTGGTATTGTCCTAAGGGCTTTGTGAACCTGCATAAACCAAGCCCTCTATCTCCTGAATTTTGTTGGAATTGTCTGTTTTTGTGAAAGGCTGTAGGGGGTTGTGACAGTGTAGTTGCGGCTTCCTTAAGAAATTTGACCTCTTCTGAAAAGTAAAAAAAAAAACCCACCAAAATTAAAACCAAAAAATGCTTGGTGGAAGAGAAACTGATACTCTCAATTTAAAGATAGAAACAAACCCCAAAAGTCTGTTTTTTTAAATGCCCACTTAAGAACAGTAATTAAAGTTTTACTGTTTTAGATAACTACTTACGGTGGGAAAGGAGGGAACCCAAACAAGACCATACTAATCTTGTCATTTTTACCTTGAACTAGGCAACGCTTGACACAAGACAGATTGTGGAAGCTAACAAAGCTAAAGTGGATGTTGGAGGGGAAGATGCTATTCTACAGACTAGAACCTATGACCTCTACATCACTTACGACAAATATTACCAAACTCCAAGGCTCTGGTTATTTGGATATGATGAGGTATAGCCATGTTGCGTTTTTTTCCCTACTTCTGTGAAATTAGACTCACTGTTCAATAGCAAAACTATTGTGTGGCTTATTCACAATAGAAATTTAAAGGGGAAAATGGTGAGAAAACCATTAAGCAGGCTTGTAGGCAGGACTTGGGTACCTGCAAAAAGTAGGAACAGTTTCACTGTAAATTGCACATGATAACCAAGCGCATTTAGAAGGAAGCAAGTCATACTTTGTCCCTGGAGTTTGTTAGCACTGTAGAGCTAGTGACAACCTCAGTAAACTCAGACAAATAAATCTTTTCATCGTCTTCAGAGGGAAAAGATTAGATAAATCATTCTTCCCTTTAATGACTAACTTCCTCGAGTTCAAGTTAATTAGGGCTTAGAGCTCAGATACTGAGATGGGAACCTAGTTGGTTGTCAGATATATCAACCTTACCATTCCAAGAAAAATCCATGCTGTACTATTTCTATACCATATGGATTTTAACACAGTCAGTTCTTTCAGTGTACCTTCAGAACTTTTGTATTTTAGATGCTTATAATTTATGGTGTGTCTTCTGTTAATGATGTTAGAATTGCTGAGGAGCAAGATTCTTTGTTATTAATGCTTTTTTCCTCTGTTCCTTTTCCCTGTGTAGCAACGGCAGCCTTTAACAGTAGAGCATATGTATGAAGATATTAGTCAAGATCACGTCAAGAAAACAGTGACCATTGAAAACCATCCTCATCTTCCTCCACCTCCCATGTGCTCAGTTCATCCATGCAGGTAAGTGTTTCTGGTCTGATTCAGCATGCAGATACAAGGCACTATGCTGTTCTTCCACAGTGGGCTGTGATGGTGGGCTTTTAGCTTCTGAGGCAGTATGAAAGGGAGATACCACTGTCTCTCTGAATTCATTCCAGTGCTCACTGAGGGCAGTGTGTTCTGCAGTTAGAACTGTTTTCTCTCTAACCAACTTGCTTTTACTCTGCTTACCTATGGACTCCAGAAGATGGCAGGCTACTAGAACTCTATGAAGTGAAGTTCTCCTATAGTTTCATCTGATTCTTTGGGGGAAGGTTCTACTAGTGATTCTCTAATTGCCACCCTGAAGTATTTGTTGAACACAATTGCAAAGCATATTTGTGTTTTTAGGGTTTTTTTTCGGTTGCATTTTCCATGTTTTTCACCCAAGACATAAAGAACATTTTGTCTTAGATGTAGGCCCTTACATCCTTTTAGGTGTCTTAGTGATACAAAGCCAGTATCTTAAACAGTGTAAGTCCTCACCTTGATAATGTGAAGTTCTTGGAGATATGAGATTGGGCTTTTATCTAATTTTTTTTAAAAAAGGAGATATCCTTTGTAGTCTTGCATATGTACCGCTCCTTTCAGTCTTTTCATTTTCTTTGACTTAGAATCACTTCTGGAATCCATGTCACTAGCTGAGATGTCAGGTATAATCAGCTGGTTGTTGGCAAGCTTGTGGTAGTTTTTGCAGTCTCAAAGTATTCTTGTTTGGGTTTAGCAATTATTTGATCATTAGTCTTGGGAAAGGTATTCCGTTCTTTAGAGAGAGAGCAAGGGAACTTTGCAATGAATATTTTATGGCTACTTTTAATCTTATTATGAGGATATATATTCATGGGCCTTGTAAATGAGTATCTCGTGTTTCTCTTAGTTCATAGTTCACTGCTTTACAACAGTCTTTGTTTTCACCAAGCAGTGAGGCTTATGTCTGGACAGTATTGAGCAGAGAAGCTGTTGTACAACTGGGAAACAACCTTTTGCCCTGTTTACTGTCTTGTAGAAATTTTTGAAGTGGTAAAGTTTATTGTTGATCTTTAATCAAGTTTAAGTCTGCACTAACACAGAAATGTTGGTCTTGGTGCTCAAGAGCAGGACAGGAAGCAGAACTTAGAAAATTTAGAAAAATAATAAAGAAATAATAGAACAGAAAACAGAATAAAGCCTCTGTTAATCTGTGGGACCACCCACATGTTGAATAGTGCAGTACAGCTCCGGTCATCTGTTCTGTAGTCTGAGGTGAAGGAAGACAAAAACTGGAAATTATGTGGAGTCTGGGATAACTGAGATTATGAAGCTCTTCCCATAAGAAATGATTGAATAACCTTGGACCCTTCAGCTTTGGAAAAAGCTGAGCAGGGAGTTCTGATCTCAGTGACCTTCATTATGAGTGACACAGAAGGTGAAGTAGTAGGCTTTAAGTTTTTTTCCAGTACTAAAACTGCTACTCACTGCTGGCGTGTTCAAAGCCAGAAATGATTAATTTCTGCACACAGCACTTAATTAAGCTGAGTATTTATTTAACCAATGTGGTGTTAATGAAATAAAAATTTGTCAAGAGTTGTTAAAAGTGTAGTTACTAGAATGCCTCAGAATTAGAAAGTCCCTGGTTGCATACTGCTGGAAAATAATCATGCTTTGGACACTATGTTCTTGCTCTGGCCTCTTTCTTGAGCACGTACGGTAAGATAAGAAGCAGGATGGGGCAGAACTTTGATCCTGTTAGGTGTTCTTGTGCCTTGTATGTCAACTTGTATGTACGTCAGTTGACTTTGGCTGTCTTACTGTTTGCTGTCGCTAGGGTTCTGGAGAAAACATGGATGCAGCTCTTTGTGCAGCTAGTGAAGGAGTGTCAGATGGGATGAATGTAGGCAGGCTTAACAGACTGACTAGGAAGAAAAAAGTGAAAAGAAAGCTTAAAGACAAGACATAAATCTAGCGTTTGCTGAGAGCCCTGCTACTAAATTGTTTGGGAAGAAGCTCCTGTTGATGGTTGCAGGCTGGGAGGGCAGTCAGAAGAAACGTGGATGACAAGGTATTTGGGCATGACAGCCCTCATGGGCTAGGTAGAACTGCACATTTTATGTTGGCCTGTGGCTGCAATGTAATCTGCTTAACTCTGGTAACACCCTTGCAGGGTAAGAACCAATGTAAGGAGACAGATTTGATGCAAGTTTTAAGTATGGAGGAAACTGTCTAGGCCTTCTCAGAAAGCAATTCTAGTTGACCAGCAACTGCTTAACACTGGAAAGAGGTAATCTTGAAACTGTGAAGAAAGAGACTGAAAGTGTATCCAAAATGAAGGTTTGAAGTATGTTCTCTTACTCTCCAGGGTGAGCTGTTCTGTTTTTTGAACTTCGTAAGGCTAGCAGCTAAGGAGATCTGGGCTTCTGAGGTAAAAAATAATGGCCAAAAGTGTTTTGGTTTTAGTTCAGCTAGGAAGCACCAGTGTGTAGCTCTGTGGCAGTTCCGTTCTTGCATGTTACAAGAATTGTGTAATGTAGGGTATTTGTATGGTCCTAAACTAACTTACCTATTTCTTGTGATGTGAGTATCCTTATGTCATGCGTCAGAGAAGGGAAAGAAACGGCAGTCGGATGCTGCCGTCAGTTGCTTCTATTTTGAGTAGTTAGTTGAAATTGTTCATCTTGCAGCTCTGCTGATAGTTGTATTTCTTGTCAGCATGTTTCTGCTACTGGGAGGAACATAGTCAACTTCCTCATTAATTGCTGTAAACTGCTATAATCACAATTCTCAAGGTTTTTTTCTGAGTGTTATGAAGGGACTATCAAACAAGTTAACTGCTAAACACATTTACAATTAAATTGTAATTGCTTGAGCTAATTCTAAGGGCTTGTTTTTCTGCATTTCAGAGTAAGTGGTGATAGGCTTCTGAACTCTTTTTCCT